GAAATACTCTCCTCCTGCCGCACCATGCCCAGGCTTAGGGTCCTTGAGCTGCAGGGGCTGGGGTGGGAGGGTCAGGAGGCGGAGAGGATCCTGTGTCAGGGCCTGCCGGGCTGTCTGGTCATCCTCAGGGCCGGCCCCAAAGAGCCTACGGACTGGTGGGTATGACTGCCACCTGGCTGAGGCCCGTCTCAGTTTTCATTAGTGAGCAAGCACCTTGCGGAGGGCAGGGAATTAGGCTACACGGCCCCAAGGCCAAAGGTAGAGAGAAGCGAGGCCTGGCACTGCCAGACAATTGGAATTGTTTGTCAGTGTGTGGCTTCTGACATCAGCCCGTCTGGTCCCCACATCTGGAAATGGGAAGACCATCGTTACCTCATGCGAACGCTGCAAAGCCTTACACTTTACTGAACCCCAGAGGTCTTCAGTGCAGGGGCATTCTCAGGGCGGTCCTCAGAAACAGGGTGGGTGCACAGGAGTGTGGTTAGGAGCCAGGGCCCTTAGGAAGCCTGGAAGGACGGTCTGCATGTGCACCCCACACCACTGATTATACCCACATGCACGGAGAAGACACGGGAAGTGCAGGCGTGATTCGTCTTTTGTGATCAAAATGTTAATGAAGGTTCTAAACTGTATTTTTTTGTATTTTCAAGTTTTTCGTAATCTATATTTTGCTATTAAAGAAAATCACTTGCCCTAGCTGGTTTGGCTCAGTGGCTGAGTGTTGGCCTGCGGACGAAGGGTCCCGGATTCGATCCAGGCCAAGCACCCCAGTTACAGGCTCCTCCCCCCCTACCCCCCGCCAGGCCCTGGTCAGAATGGGTGTAGGAGGCAACCAATCAATGTGCTTCTCTCACATTGATATTTCTCTCTGTCTTTCCCTCTCTCTTCCATTCTTTCTGAAAATCAATGGAAAAATATCCTTGGGTGAGGATTAAACCCCCCCCCCCAAAAACAAACAAAATAAAGAAAAGTACTCATTTTCCCTTGTCCCCAAAACAGTCCGTTTATTCAACACACATTTCTGCCTCTGCGATTGTGCAGGCGTTGTCCTAGGTGCTAGGTCACAGCACTGAACCAGACAGATTCGACCTGAGGGGACAGGGTGGTAAACAGGTGAGCACATCACAGTTTCAGGAACCCAGACAATACACCAGGGTGATATGATGGAGGCGTATGTTTCGTAGAGCGGGCCTCTGAGCCAAGGCCTGAGAGGAGGAGGAACCAGCCCTGGGAAGCACTGAGGAAGATGAAAAAGGCAAAGATGCTGAGCTGGGGGTGAACTTGGCATTTTCCAGAAACTGGAGGAAGGTCCGAGTGGTTGGGGGAACAAGGGGTGAGCAATAGGCTGTGAAGGGGTGAGGTAGATGGGGCCTCACAGATGGCTTAGGTTTTAGGGGCTCCTTTTCCTGCCTTTTGAGTCTGAACCACTTGAAAGGCGCAGGTGGCAGACTGAGGGTGATCATGGGCACCAACCACAAGATGAGCGTTACTTCTGATCTGAGCTGGGTAGGAGGGCTCTATGGGCTCACCAGCTGCCCCCTCAGTGGCGCGCCTGCTCTGTGGTGGGCAGAGCCAGGAGAGAGAAGAGAGGGCTCACCTGGGCACCCTTGATTTTTTGTGCCAAGCGCACCCACCAGAGAAGACCTGGATGTTTCTCCCGTGGTTTTCCCACTGGAGGGTGGAGTGGAAATTCCTTCCCCATCCGGGCGCATGAGGACGGGTGTGAGTTCTCCCCAGTGTGGCCACGGTCAGGGTCTACGGGTCCCACATGGTCAGGGTCTGCGGGCCCCACACTGACAAACCTGGCGGTTCCAGCTCAGCACCTGGGGGCCTGGGCTGATCCAGGCTGGGCACCGGGGATGAGAAGTGTCAGGCAGGGAAGTGAGGTCTGTCTGGAGATCTGGGGTCCATCGTGTGGAGTATGACGGAAGGGTCCTGGGCCGGGCCCTGCTGGTCCTGGGAGTGGGCTGCAGGTGCCCCGCCTGGAGCAGCTCCCAGGGAAAAAGCTTCCTTTCACGCTGCCTTTCCAGTGGAAATGGAGGAGATATGAAATTAGAGGCAGGGGTACACATGTAAACGTTTTTTTAAATTTAAATTCTATTTTTTGTTGTTGCCCCAAACAGTGTTTATTTGCCTTTTTAACTTGATGAATCCATGTTTCTTTCATCAATTAAAATGAACTCACTTTCCTTTCATTTTATTTTATTAAAAGACTGCCAAAGAGATAAAAATCTCATTATTTTTTTGTTATTTAAAATTTTTTTAAATCATTTTTTTCTTTATTGATTAAGGTATTACATGTGTTCTTATCCCTCCATTGGCCCCCCCCCACCTGACCTCCCCACTCATGCCCTCACCCCTCCCTGGAGTCTGTGTCTATTGGTTAGGCTTATATGCATGCATACAAGTTCTTTGGTTGATCTTTCCCCCTATCCCCACCCTCCCCTATAAATTTAAATTCTTTATTGTTGAAAGTATTACATGTCTCCTTCCCCCCCCCCCACTGACCTCTCCCCGCTCGCTCCCACCCCCCAGCACAGGCCCTCACCCCACTACTGTCTGTGTCCATTGGTTATGCTTCTATGCATGCATACAAGTCCTATGGTTGATCTCTTACCCCGCCCCTCCCCTGCCTTCCCTCTGGGATTTGACGGTCTGTTCAATGCTTCTATGTCTCTGGATCTATTTTTGTTCGGTTATGTTGTTCATCACATGTAAATGTTTAACAGACAGTGTTAGCAGGTGGTGGTGGGAAGTCCTGATTTGTAACATTTGTAGAGTGTGTAGACAGACTTCTGTGATACAAATACTGTCATCGTGACTGGTTTCAAGCTACCACCAGTTTAACAACCGATTCACAAAATTCCTGAAAGTTTAGAAGTTGGTTCTGGGCTGCCATGAGCACGGCCCTGGTGAGAGGTCCGACTGTTAGAGGACTCACTCACTTCCCTGGGGTGCTGGGGTTCTGGGACATCAGACAGAGCTCCT